AATGTGTCTCGCTCTCTCCCTCTCAAAAAAAAAAAAAAAGAATAAAAAAATATATTCCATTCTTTTTTTTTTTTTTGCTTTAAAAACTAATAACCAAAAGGCCTGCTTTAGTGACATGTTAGTCCGACCAGAAATTACCCCATTAGTAACAAGTTGACCAGCCCACTCATGTTTCTAAACCCGTGTGTAGATGAGTACCTGTGTGCCTTTTAAACTAAAGCCATGAAGCTCAGGTGACTGCTAGTAATGCATAACTACCTGGTAACTAACCACTGTCCACCTAGAGGATGGGCAGGGCAGAGAAATCCCTAAATATTAACAAGGGACCACTGCCCCGAACAGCCAACCTCTTAAACACTGCTTTCCTATTGCCCCTCCAGGTGATGAGCCTTAATTCTAGACTAGTTCTCTACTCTGGCTCCCAGTGACCAGGATGGTTTTCTCCCTTAGAAAAACACACTTATTGGGAACCAGCAGTTAGCGTAATGGCTATGTCGCTGGATTCCCACGTAGTCGACCACGGTTCGCATCCCAGACCCGGTGGCTTAGAACTCATTCCGGGTGCGTGGGCGTGCGTGCCCAAGATCCCGAGAGGAGAATGGAGGAGAAGGGATTGCGGCGTGACCATCCCCCCTGGGGGTGATTTATCGCTTTCTATCTCTCTGTCTCTCTCTGTCTGTCTGGCAAGCACACGTGCCCTATAGCGAAAACCTCTCAAAAAAAAAAAAAAAGAAGAAAAACACACTTATCCACACACACCCATATATAATTATTTTGTTTGTTTTTACATTCAAATATAAAAATACTACTCTGTTTTACAAATGGGGGACCAAAGAATTAGAACTTTTTATTCTGTTAAAGACAGATATCCATCAGTTTGCACTCTGAGTTTTATGTTCTGGGGAGGGCATGTAGCCCAAGCAAGGAAAGCACAAGAGACCAAGGACCTTTTCCTTCCTTATCCCCAACCCGCCCTTCTCTAACTCCCTCTTCTCAGAGAGACTTGGTCATAACCTCTTATAGGAACAGAGCTTTCCACTAAAAGGGAAAATCCTAGTGTGACCAGTCTGTCTCAGCTGCCTCGAAGAACATGTCCTCCCCCTTCTGAAACATGTGTGCACTGTTCGAACAGCTACGCCTGCTGGACAAGCATCCTGATTTAATGGCAGCAGTGTTGTGCACACCCATCCTCCTGACTACACACTAGGACGCTTCACACAGACCCCTTGATCCTGGCCAAAAAAGCAAGATTAACTGGGCCCTAGGAATATAAGATGATGATATTTGACCCTTTGAGTTACAATTGAGACTGTTAGGGCCACGGGGAAAGGGACAGAGCTGGAGTGGGATAAGCAAGGAGGGGCTCAATGGCTAGAGGTCCAGTCCACTTAGTTTTTGTACAGCAAGGGCTCATTGCCAGTTTGGGTGTCCAAAGCAGTGTCCATCAGTCCCCATCAGAGCATATTTCTGCTCCATTCCTAACCAGGGGCGCTGGCTGCTCACCATGTCCATTACCCATTTATGTGTATGCCTTAAATTGGTCTCTGCAGGCTTTTGATTGTACTTGATAATTTCACAGAACACCAGCTTGGTAGGGTCCTTGTGGAAGGGGGGGGTCCCGAAACATGGCAGCAGCGATGAGATACATGTCACTGTTGGAATCTTCAGACTGAAAAGTGCTAGAACCATCAATTCCACTCTGGCAACTCTTCCACACACTTGGACTCACAGTCCAAGTTCTGGGTCTTATAGCGCAGTCCTTCGCTAGTGCCATGGATCCAGATACACGTGGCCGGGACTTTCTCGCCCTGAGGCAGGGACATGTACACCTGCTTGATGCCTTTGTTCAACTGGGAACTTGCTGAGGTGGCCATGGTGGAAGATCCTCTGGGTGGCAAGCAGGTGGGAGGGCAAGCTGGCAGGCGAGAGTGAGGTGAAATGAGATGGCAGGAGGCCAGTGCTACTCAGGGAGGCTGCTCTGCTCCCACCCCTGACTCTACAGATATTCCACTCCTAAATTGTAACTACTATTAAATGCTGTTCCATATCTCCAGACACTGCTATATGAATAAATGTGTATATGAGCGTAGGTAGCCAATGCTGTTCATAACTTTGCTATTTTTTTTTAAAACAGAGGAGTCTATCCTTTTTTTTTTTTTTTTTAAGTTTATTGAATTTTTTCTGTAAAGGAGGGAGAGCTTTGCAGGCTCTCTCAACAGGGTCTTTATGCCACAATTTACCCTCAGCCTCAACCAGCCCAGTGTGCAGAGGGGAGCCTGAGACAAACCCAGGATCCTCCCATGTGGGTCTGGGCATTACTGCTGCACCACTGTCTAGGCCCTGCTTTCTCACTTTCACTCAGTGGTACATGGTAGACTTTTGGTGGGAGATACCTTTCCTCATTTGTCTTCTTTCTTTTATTTTTTAAAGAATTATTTAATTTTCTCTTTTTCTTTCTTCCCTTCCCCTCCCTCCCTCTCTCCCTCCCTCCCTCCCTCCCTCCCTCTCTCTTTCTTTCAATTTGGCCATAGAGGGACAGAGTGAGAGAGAGCGAGAGAGAGCGAGAGAGAGAAAGTGAGAAAGCAAGCCACCAGGTCCAGGACTCCAGCTGTGGTCGGCCATGAGAGAGTTAAGAACCACCACACCACCTGCCGTCCCCAGTGTTTTATTCTTTTTAATGGTTATATAGTATTCCATTATAATGGGACATCATACTTTCTAGTAGTTTTTTTGATCATTAATTTTAATTAAAATGATATATGCAAAAAGTATCATACACACATAATAAATAGCACTAAAAATCTTAATACATCAATCTTCTGCCTGCTTCCCAATCCTAACACAGCTCCTCTGAGACAGCTATTCTCAACTGTTCTCGTATTTGCTGTTATATTTCAAAATAATTATATTTATGTCATTACAACTTGATTTTAAAATTTTATATATTATTTATTAACTTTTTGTAATACTTTTCTCCTGACTTCCCCTTCTCTGATCCTCCCAATATAATTCTGTCACAACTTATGGTGAAGTCAGTATTTCGTTTTTATATTATTAAAGCTGTGTAAGTATTGTTCACAGCTGAGCCAAGTCATGTACTACTATCCTGTTTCATCTCATATGCATTTTCATAGTTTGGAGTTAGTAATTGCCTTATAGTTTTTCATTTCTTAGTTTTCCTTCCTTCCTCCCTTCCTTCCTTCCTTCCTTTCTCTCTCTCTCTCTCACTCTCTTTCTTTCTCTCTCTCTCTCTCTCTCTCTCTCTCTCTCTCTCTTTCTTTCTTTCTTTCTTTCTTTCTTTCTTTCTTTCTTTCTTTCTTTCTTTCTTTCTTTCTTTCTTTCTAATTGCCAGAGGGTGCATTTACTTGCCAGAGAGAGAGAAAGAGAGAAAACGCCCCCAGATGAGGCATGGTCGTACCACAATCCTTTTTCCCTTGTTTATCCATCCTGTTCAGATTTGGGGCATAGATACCCATCCCTTAGTATATTTTTCAAGCCCCTGGGGCTGAGAGTCAAACTGTAGCTGGTCATGTGGAATCTGATTCCCCGTTCACAGTGCTTAACTGCTGCACTGTAAGACCTGTTTAATTTTCTTCTTTTCCTTCTTTTATTTTTAAATTATTTTCTATTTAACTTTATTCATTCATTCATTCATTCATTCACATTTGACCAGAGAAAAGACAGAGGGAGAGAGAAAGGGAAAGTGAGAAAGCAAGCCACTAGGTCCGGGACTCGAACTGCAGTCGGCTATGTAGGAGTCCAGTGCCTTAACCACCATGCCACCTGCCAGCCCTGGACTTATACTTCTTATACTTCAGTTTCTTGTCATTCTTCTCTACAGGAGACATAGACTTAGACTTCCGTAAATGTGCCGGTTAGTCTTTTTAAAAACATACTTTCTGTTTCCTTAATACAATGGCAATTATCTTTCAATTTTTTTCTTTCTCCACATCTCAATGGATAGTTGCTGCTCACTAAATATCGGTGTTTGCCCAGTAAACTATTATTTTCCTCATCCTAACTTTTATTCCTTCAAGTTTTTAAAGAAAGGAAGCATTGGGAACCAGCAGTTAGCGTAATGGCTATGTCGCTAAACTCCCACTTAGTCGACCGCGGTTCGCGTCCCGGACCCGGTGGCTTAAAACTCACGTCGGGCGTGTGTGCGTGCGTGCCCAAGATCCCGAGAGGAGAATGGAGGAGAAGGGATTGCGGTGTGGCCATCCCCCCTGGGGGGTGATTTCTCGCTTTCTGTCTCTCTTTCTCTGTCTGTCTGGCGAGTGCACGCGCCCTATAGCAAAAACCTCTCCAAAAAAAAAGAAAGGAAGCATTATCATTTCACTTCCTTGATGTACTGGAATATGCAAAGGAAGTCTGTATTTGGCTCCTAAAAGCAGAGCAGTCTAAGGTTTTCTTTACTATTACTACATGCTCTGTCCCCTGAGTGCAGTAGAGGGGGCAGGTCTGCAGGTGGCTGGGCATTAGCAAGTTCTGCCTTGGTTCAAATTCTTTCATTCACTTTTTTATGATGGGGAGTGTATACACTTGCACATAGTGAGTTGGGGAAGCACCCTCCACAGAGTCTCATCACCCATTCACTTCTCCATCACTCCTCCAGCTCCTCATGGTGCCCACTCCTGCCTGGTGTATTTTCAACCCTTGGTTGCTCACGTGGCATGTAGCTTCCAGCCTTGTAGGACACTTACTCTCAGGGTACACTATAGCTGCTGGGCCTTTTTTTCAAACTTTTGATTTAAAAAAGGATAAGTTAATTTTTCCTTTTCAAAGTAAAGCATTTTCTGGTTTATATATCAGGACTTTGCTAGAATTAAGTGTAAAATACCCAGAAGTGTAATTTGCTGAACTGAGAGTGCTAAATTCCTGTATGAAATGAGCTATCCATAAAGTTATCCAGAAAGTATTTAATAATATATGTGCTAGAATAGAAGGCTAGCATTCACTACAGCATTTTGTTTATATGATTTAGTTTTTGCCCTAGGGCTCATGTGTTCCTCAGGGAGGAGAGAGAGGAAGAAAAAGAGAGGGAAAGTGGGAAATCACGCCCGAGAGGGGATGACTCACACCACAGTCCCTTCTCCTCCATTCTCCTCTCAGGATTTTGGGCAAGCACACACATGCACCCAGCATGATTTCCAAGCCACCATGTCTGGTACTTGAACCGTGGTCAGCCATTTGGGAATCCAACCACCTTAACCACCATGCCACCTGCTGAAAAGTCAGAAATTATTATCATATACCTTAAATGTTTATTAGTAATAGACTAGAAAATAAATATAGTAATTGGAAAGAATAAGGTAGATATCTAAATGGTGTGTGGAGATATTTCTAAATGTATTTTTTTAAATAGAAAAAAAGTAATATTCTATTTATAGCATCCTTCTGTCTGCATTTTTGAAGAGATCCATACAGGCATTTATTAGCACAGAATATGTCTCAAAGGATATATAAGTAACTTTAGGGTAGTTGCCTCTGGAGCAGGGTCTGGATAGTTAAAGCGAAAAGAAATGGTTACTTTTTTGGTATATATTACTTTATATTATTTAAGTGTTTTGCCATATGCATATTTTATTTTCAATTTTTAAAACTGTAAATTAAGTATAAAGGAGCACTTTGATATAAAATATGATCTTTTTAAAAATTTTAGGAGTGGAATATACTGAGAGTGTGACACCAAAGCTCAATCAAATAATATTTCTTGACCTTTCTTTTTCTTCAGTTTATGTTAGTGTGTGTGTACTACCTGAGAGAGGGAAAGTGAAAAGTCACTCCTCGTGGGGGTGTTTGTGCCACAATCTCTTCTCCTCCATTCTCCTCTTGGGATTTTGGGCATGCACGCACACACACCTGGCATGGTTTTTCAAGGTTCAGGACTCAAGCTGTACAGTCAGCCATGTGGGATCCATCCACCTTAACCTCCACTCCACCTGCTGGTCCTATCTTCCTTGACCTATTATTTAGAATAATCTGTAGTTGTGGAAAGTAGAATAAGGAATAATTAAAATTCAAAATATTTACATGGTCTTGAAGACCCTTTCTGGCCTCTTCGTCCACTCTTCCCAGTATACTTTGCTCTAGCTCTCCCACCTCCTTCCTGTTCCTCAAACATGCCACACGCTGGCCTGCTTGAGTGCTTTTGCCAGTGTCATCTTACAGAGGTGCCTTCCCCTACCTCCCTATACAGAGAATCGTAGCAGTCTCCTAGGTTAGGCTGCTATAACATGTTACCATAAACTGGATGACTTCGTAGAAATTTATGTCCTACAGTTCTGAAGGTTGGGAAGACAAGGTTAAGGGCTGACTGATTTGGCTTCTGGTGAGGCCCTGTTTTCTGTTTCTGTCTCACAAGTTAGAGAAAGAGATCTCTCTCTGTCACTTCTCCTAAGGGCACTAATGCTATTCTTGAGAGTTCTACCATCCAAATACCATCACATTGGATATCAGGATTTCAATGTATGATTTTGGGGAGTAACACAAACATTCAGTCCACAATACAACCCTCTACGATCACTCTAGCCCCCTCCTTACCCTACTTCATTTTTCTCTGTAGTACTGTGTGTGTGTAATCTTTTTTTTTTTTTTTTTGAGAGGTTTTTGCTATAGGGTATGTGTGCTCAGCAGACAGAGAAAGAGACAGAGACAGAAAGCAAGAAATCACCCCCCAAGGGGGATGGCCATGCCACAATCCCTTCTCCTCCATTCTCCTCTCGGGATCTTGGGCACTCACGCACACGCGCCCGGCGTGAGTTTTTAGCCACGGGTCTGGGACTCGAACCACCATCGACTACGTGGGAGTCCAGCAACATAGCCATTACGCTAACTGCTGGTCCCTGCGTGTGTGTAATCTTAACACCACTTAATTTTACACACACACACACACTCCCCAAGCACAGGGACTGTCTGTTTTATTATCTCCCCTATGCCTGGGAAAGAGCCTGACATATACTAAATGCCTTATAAATATTTAGAAATTGAAAAATGAAAAATAGAAGCTTTTGAAAATGGTACCTTTACCAAAATAAATTCATACTTTAATTGTAAAATAAATAAATAAATAAAGTTAAAAAAAAAAGAAAATGGTACCTGTTTTACAGTTTGGAAGGATACATGTTATATATATTTGATAAAGCCAAAGTTTTCAGTTGTTTCTGGTAAGTTCTTTTTTTTTTTTTTTTTTGAGAGATTTTTCACTGTAGGGTGCGTGCGCTCGCCAGACAGACAGAGAGAGACAGAGAGACAGAAAGTGAGAAATCACCCCCCAGGGGGGATGGTCACGCCGCAATCCCTTCTCCTCCTCCATTCTCCTCTTGGGATCTTGGGCACACACGCACACGCGCCCGGCGTGAGTTTTAAGCCACCGGGTCCAGGACGTGAACCGCGGTCGACTACGTGGGAGTCCAGCGACATAGCCATTACGCTAACTGCCGGTTCCCTCTGGTAAGTTCTTAACCTTTGGTGAAGGTTTTAAATGGCTGATTTTCTTTGGCAGAGCAAGAATATGATCCTGGACCAAGCCTTTAAGTATATAACAGAACTGAAAAGACAAAATGATGAACTCCTGCTCAATGGAGGAAACAATGAACAAGGTAAAGCTTTGAGGTTTATTATTTTGTGTTTTTAAATTATCACCTTCGATTTTTTTTTTTTTTTTTAATTTGGCAGAGGGTACATGCACTTGCCAAAGAGAGGTAGAGAGAGAGAAAGTAAGAAAGCACCCTCCATGGGACATGGTCACACCTTCTCCTTGATTTCTCCTTTTCTTGGGATTTTGGGGTTTGGGTGCACACCCAAGTAACTGGCTGTTTTTCAAACTGCTGGGTCAGGGACTCAAACCATATCATCCACCATTTGGGTTCCAGCTGCCTTAACCACCAGACCACAGGTTGGCCCACTTTTTATTTTTAAATGTTTAGGTTTCTGTGTAATTTATACTGACATATAGAAGACTTTTTGCTCCCAAACTTTGTTAAGACCTTTCATTCAGTGCATCTGGGAGGACTGAATAAATTCATTTTAGTTTAACTCTTTTCCTTCCCTCTTGAACAACCACCTGTCTTAGCGGCATATGTAATTTTAGTTTTGGGTGCGTATGTTATCAGCTGGGCTGGACTGGGTGTGTGTCATGCTGGGTAAGGTCTCTTTAAAATCTAAAAGATGTATAGCGATTAAATGTATAAATAATAATTAAAATTAACAAATAAAAAATATTTTAAAAAATGTTAGTTTTGGACTTTTCATGTTTGCCTAAGTCATGATAGTAATGATATTAAGTCCCCTTTATTCCAATTGGCTCCCTCAGCTACGGAATTCCATAGGAATGTAAGGAGAAATCGTGTACAGTTTAAAACAAGATTAGGATATGCCTGTGTTAAGACTTAACTATGCATAATACTGACAGTTAGTGTAATGGCTATGTCGCTGGACTCCCACGTAGTCGACCGCGGTTTGAGTCTCGGATCCAGTGTCTTAAACTCATGCCGGGCACGTGTGCGTGCTTGCCCAAGATCCCGAGAGGAGAATGGAGGAGAAGGGATTGTGGCGTGGCTATCCCCCCTGGGGGATGATTTCTCGCTTTCTGTCTCTTTGTCTCTGTCTTTCTGGCGAGCATATGTACCCTATAGCAAAACGTCTAAAAAAAAAAAAAAAAGACTTTAACTATGCATTTAATTTACAAGGCCAAAGCATTTAGTTTGTGATTGTGTATTTTGCATGTAACGTGTGCATCAGACTAGCTGAGCATTTAATGGTGTTTGATGTTTAGATGGAGGTGACTCTTTAATGCTGTTGAATGATTTCTCCTGCACTGAATAGAAGGTTTTCTTATAGCACCTGAAAAGAACAATATCCTGGGCAAGTGTGAAGCTCAGGGTGGCCGGCCAGTTTGAATTGTCCTTTATTCATGGCTCTGACAAAGGCAGGGACTGTGCTGTGCGACTCAGCAGCTATATTAAATGGAAAGAAACAAGGGCAGAATGTGCTGAGGTAGGGGCAGGGCTGGGCTGTGCTCCTCGTAATGGCCAGGAGGGTACTGGAAGCATAGCCAGGGCGTCAGCATTCAGAATCCTCCTGGTTTACTTTTAGGTAAGTAGTAGCTTACCCCCCCCTCACCTAGGTCAGCTGCCTTTATGGTCTAGGTCCTTCATTGTGATGCTGAGACACCCTGCAAAAGGGACGGTAAGGCCAGAGCAATATGTAGACTTTTCTACTGAAGGTTCCTTTGATTTCAAAGCACAGAGACTGAGACTATCAATTTGCCTTAGGGAAGAAGAACTATTGAAATTGGCAAGTTATGTAGGACTCAGTAAAAGCTGAACAGCCAGGCCAGGGGTTGGGGGCAGCATCTGAGCTGCCGACGTCCGGCCATGTTGCCAGCTCTGTCATGGTCCTGAGTTCTCTGGTCCTTTTTGTGCATCTGCTCTATCCTGTTCTTTCCCAGCGGCTTCTGTGTAATCACTGTCCCATGTCAGGCTACCTCAGTGGTCAGCGCAGTTGCCTTGGAATCAGGCCCACTTCTGTTTGAGTCTCAGCCTCATTTACTCTCCCAGTACCCTTTGGCCAGTTCCCTCTCCAAATCTCAACTTCCCTATCATTTTTTTTTTTTTTTAATAATATATTTCTTCAAAGAGTGAGAGAGACAGAGCACTTAGACTAAAGCCTAGCATACAGTAAGTGCTTGATAAATGTTAGCTATTATTGCTCTTGCTGCTGTTGTTATAAATGAGATAATGAGTGAAAAGTACCAGGCAGGCAGTAAATGTACAAGAAGCAAGAACAGTCATTGTCATGATTTGGTTCATAATGATTGTCCTTTAACTTTTTTTAAAATAATTTTTAAGAATCATTTATTTTATTCAGTTAACAATAACAATAATAATAAATAATAATAATAAAATTAAAGAGAGAGAGAAAGGGAAAGTGAGAAAGCCAGGTGCTAGGCCCAGGACTCAAACTGCAGTTGACCATGTGCGAGTCCAGAGGCCCAACCATCCTGCCACCTGCCGGCTCCTGTCATTTAACTTTTTTTTTTTTTCAGAGAGATTTTTGCTATAGGGCACGTATGCTTGCCAGAGAGAGACAGAGACAGAAAGGAAGAAATAGCCCGTTGGGGTGGATGGCCATGATGTAATCTCTTCTCCTTCATTCTCCTCTCAGGATTTTGGGCATGCATGCACATGTGCCTGGCATGAGTTTGAAGCTGCCAGGTCCAGGACTAGAATTGTGGTCAGCCATGTGAGAATTCAGTGATGTAACCATTACACCATCTGCTGGTCCCTGTCCTTTACCTTTTAATATCCATGGCACACTGGAATCTTTCTTTGGTTTCAGAGTTTAAATATTGAGAAACATGATCTGCTGAGCTTAGCTTATTGTCCTTACTGGACTGAAGCTTTTCATTTCAAGCTACCTTAGAAGGCATTAGCCTTAACAATTGACTGTTTTTGATGGTGGGGGGAGGGCCACCATCAAAGAAGAAGGAACTTATATTGGAAAAGGGCCGAACATTCTCAGTTGAGGTATTTAGAATGCTAGAATTAGAATTTAGTAGTTTAATATGGAGGTCTTTCTCAAGTTATTGAAAATGTTGACATTCACTAATATTTTAAAATTTTTGTTTTTGATATAGCTGAGACTATCTACCACTAAAAAGCAGATCGAGGTGTCAGGGGGAGGGGTCACAAAGCATAAATACCAGCAGCCAAGGTGGCCCCATTAGTAGGGGTCCATAATAAATCATTATGGACTAAATCATGACAATGACTGTTCTTGCTTCTTGTACATTTACTGCCTGCCTGGCACTTTTCACTCATTATCTCATTTAATAACAACAGCAGCAAGATGGCCCCAGTAGTAGGATCCATGGCTATAACTGTCACCTTAGAATGGAATAGAGGGTGACAGACACCTTCATTGGTTCTAGGGAAAATGCAAGCGCCATTGTTATGTTTTCTTAGATGCCCTACTCTGTTCTTACTCCTTTCAGTCTACATTGTTTCAAAGGCTACAATAGAAGCTAAAGCTGTTTATAAAGCATGTATGTTATCACCACAGGGATAGCTGCTGTACCAATGTACGATAGAAACTAAAGCTATTTATAAAGCATTTATATTATCACCACACCGATGGCCATTGTAGCATTTGGATGGTGTTATATTGCAATTGAATGGTGTAAAATTGATAGTCAATTTTTTTTTTTTTGTAGGATGTTACTGTGATATCCATGTCTTCTGTTGCTTCACTTGTGTGGTCGCCCTATTGGAAACTTTGAGAATTCTGGGAATTTTGAGATTTCTCCATTATGAGTAAATTTTTAGCTATTGATCATTAAAGATACATATTTTTAAAGGGTGGACCAGGGGTTTGAGATTCTAAAAAGAAGAAGGAACTTATATTGGAAAAGAGCTAAACATTCTCAGTTGAGGTATTTAGAATGCTAGAATTAGAATTTAGTAGTTTAATATGCAGGTCTTTCTCAAGCTATTGAAAATATTGTCATTGACTAATATTTTAAAATTTTTGTTTTTGATATTATAGCTGAGGAAATTAAAAAGCTGCGGAAGCAACTGGAAGAAATTCAAAAAGAAAATGGCCGATACATTGAATTACTGAAAGCAAATGACATATGCTTATATGATGACCCCACCATCCACTGGAAAGGAAATCTTAAAAATTCAAAGGTCTCTGTTGTTATTCCTACTGACCATGTCCAAAAAAATATCATCGTTTATTCCAATGGGAGTCAGCCTGGTGGAAACAGCCAGGGAACAGCTGTTCAGGGGATAACCTTCAATGTTGGTCATAATTTACAAAAGCAAACTGCCAATGTGGTGCCAGTGCAGAGGACTTGCAATCTTGTGACTCCTGTGTCTATTTCTGGAGTGTACCCTTCTGAAAACAAGCCATGGCATCAGACCACAGTTTCAGCATTGGCTGCCAACCAGCCTGTTCCTCTCTGTCTTCCCGCTGCCATTTCTGCTCAGAATCTTCTCGAGCTTTCCACCTCTGAAAGCGAATCGAGTGTGCTTGCTGCCACTAGTGGCTCACTGATTGCTGTTCCAGTTGGGTCTGAACCTCACCAACAGCATTCCTTACACACATGTCCAAATGTTCCAAATTCTTCTGAAAATAGGAATGGGCAAGAGAGCCCCAAATTATTGAAGAAAACAGCCCTCTGTGCCACAAGCATCCCCCCGAGCTCCTCAGCATCTGCCACTAAGGTGCAGCATGGAAACAAGTCCGGCTTGAGCATACAGGATTTCAGAGGTGATTTTCAAAACACCTTGGTTGTTTCAGTTACCACCACAGTCTGCTCCCAGCCTCCCAGATCTGCAGGTGTTTCCTCTCCAGCGAGCACTAGCAAGAGCGCTGAGTCAACAGGTGCAAACACGGTGGTGGCACCATCTGCACCTGGAGTCGGGAAGACCACCACTCCTGTAAGCACCCTTTCCACAAAATCTTTGGACAGTGGTTGGACTCGTTCTTGTTCTTTGCCTTCCTCCAGTGTTAGCGCTTCAGATTTGAAAAACATTAATAGCCTTACCCGGATTTCTTCAGCTGGAAATACACAGACAACGTGGACTACTTTGCAACTTGCGGGAAACACTATTCAGCCCTTAACCCAGACGCCATCTTCCTCTGTGACACCAGTATTAAGTGAATCTGGTACTAGCCCCCAAACAACCAACCATAGTAGACAAGTGGCTCCAGGCATCCACCTGAATAACCCCTTTCCAGCAGATGGGCAGCCAGTTGAGCAAGTAGTTGTAACCTTGCCTTCTTGTCCATCTTTACCTATGCAGCCCTTAATTGCCCAGCCACAAGTTAAATCCCAACCTCCGAAAAATATCCTTCCACTGAATTCAGCAATGCAGGTGATTCAGATGGCTCAGCCAGTTGGGTCAGCTGTCAATGCAGCTCCAGCTAATCAAAATGTTATCATTCTCCAGCCACCCAGCACCACCCCATGCCCGACAGTGATGAGAGCAGAGGTTCCCAACCAAACAGTAAGCCAACAGATAGTAATCATACAGGCAGCTAATCAGAATCCTTTGCCACTCCTCTCCGCGCCTCCCCCTGGTTCTGTTCGACTCCCTGTCAATGGAGCCAGTGCCATCATAGGGTCTAATAATCCAGTGCAAAATGTTTCAGCGCCACAAACGTTTGGAGGAAAGCATCTTGTCCACATATTACCAAGACCTTCATCTTTATCAACCTCTAATTCAACCCAGACTTTTTCCGTCACCATGTCAAATCAACAGCAGCCTCAAACCATTTCCTTAAATGGACAGCTCTTTGCTTTGCAGCC